CCACCTCCAGCATATGGGACCGGCACCCTACTCCTTGAGCCACAGGCACTGCCCAGCTCTTTCCATCTTCTGCATGTTCTTCTAGTTGTCTATAAGTACAATGTAATGACATATTCCACACCTTGTATTCATTTTTATATAATACATGTATATGTATAACGTTGGGTTTTCAGAGTATTAATCTTGAAAATTACAGTTTTCATGGCCTCACTGTGTCCTGCTGCACTGGTAACTTACTGAGGCATATTCCTACTGACACTCCTGCTATAGGGTGATTCTCCTTTCTTGCTGTCTAGCTATACTCATATGTAAACGTTTTCCTAATTTGAATTATTTGTTTAGGATACATTTCCAAAAGTTCTCATGTCTAGGGATTATTTGAACAAAGAGAGTTAACAGCTCTCAGAAGGTCACTAATGTATGTGTATTAGTCTTCTTTGAACCCTAAGAGAAGGTGAACATCTTTTCTTGCTTATTTATTATTACTTTTCACATCAGTTGTCAGTTCAAATCCTTACTCAGTCTGTTTGGTTGAGATGTTTTTATTAATCTGAATAATCTCCTCTATAGCATTTTCTGTACTAAAAACCATTTAAGTTTTAAAGTAGAAAGCTAATAGTTAAACTGTAACCTACCAAAACCAAACATAAGGAGTAGTGATTTTTGGACCAGTCAGCTCAATAATTTCTTAAGTAAAAAAACCAAGTCATAAAACCTTTAAAAAGAGTCTAAATGAAGATTACACAAAAGGTCAGAGATTGAAAGCTGACTTCTCTTATCATCAAAAGAGTACATGATTCCTTTGAATTAGAGATAACAGGGAGTTAGACAAGAAGAAAAAAATCCAAGATCAACCAACTATAGTATTTCTATGAAAGATGACTATAAAAGACTTTGCTTTTCTTCACACAGACCTTATAAGCTCTTAGAGGTCACTACCAATAAACAAGAGATGGTGATGGGAGCTGTCCAAAATGACCAAGTATACTTCAGGAAAACTAGACTTAAAGTATGGCTTACAAGGTTTCTTTTAGAGCATTTTAATTTCACTTGATTTTTTTTCAACTCCAAAAATATTTCCTGTAACTCTACCCGTATCACCTTCCTCCCCTCACTTCCCCCTACTGATTTCTCTATTCTGGGGTTGGACTATAGTCCTATAGTTTCTCTTAGCTGGTCCAAGCCACACAAGTCCCACCCCACAGACTTTCCAAGAGTCAAAGCAGGGGTGTGCCTAAAACAAGACAAAGGCTGGGCATGGGTGCTCATGCCTGTAATCCCAGCACTCTGGGAAGACAAGGCAGGAGGACCACTTGAGCTCTGGAGTTTGAGACCAGCCTGAGCAAGAGCGAAACACGGTCTCTAATAAAAATAGAAAAACTAGCTGTTGAGATGAGTGCCTGTAGTCCCAGCTACTCAGTAGGAGGATCACTTGAGCCCAGGAGTTTGAGGTTACTGTGACATATGATGCCATGGCACTCAATCCAGGGTGACAGAATGAGACTCTGCCAACCAACCAACCAACCAATCAATCAATAAAACAGAGAGAAGGCAGAAAGTCTCTGACTCAATGCCAGCAGGTGCCAGCAAAAAAGTCAGGAGGACAAAAGAAAAAAGAAGTACATGAGATAAGAACAAGGTGATGATTCAGGTTTACTTTTTATTCTGCTCAAAGTCCTGCATATTAAAAGACAAAGGTGTATATCAAATTTGGCTCATATACTGTGTACTCACCTAATCATTTTTAAAGCTTACCCATTAAAAAGGTGACAGAAAGTTAAAGGTGACTCACCATTTCATTCTTGTTGGGAATCAGCTGTGAGGCATGTTTTTCTTCTTCTTTTATCATCAATTTCTCATACAGGTCACTGACAATAAATGAAGGGTAATACCTATCCTTTAGGGTCTCGTAAACATCTCCCTGGATTTTGCAGAACACCTCAATGCCTTTATTTCCTACAAGACACTGCTGAATTTCTTTGTAAAGTGATTTTTCCACAGATATTGCTTTGCTCTCTACAAAGAAATTCTGATAAATTTCACCAACTAATTGTGGAATTTCATTCTGAAAAGCAAGGAAGATAAAGAAAGAAAAAGGTAAGGAAAATCATCTCTGAGAGATACTATTTTCCTCTCAATTCTTTGCATTTTAAAGCTGAAAAGACAACATTTGGGATGTACCCTGCTGCTGGTATGGGGCTTAGGCTTTTATGTCCACATTCAGGGCCCAGGGTAAATGTTAGATTCTGGGAGGAAGAAACATTGATTCCTTAAATGAACACTTTATGTTAAACAGTTAACATATACAATTTCTTTTAAGCACTGAAGGGAAAAAATAAGAATGAGAACAGTTTTTCTCCTACAGTGGAGTCTTTTGCATATTCTCAATTCCACAGAGCCAAAATTTATCAGTGAAATCAGTTTGACTTTTTATCTAATAGAAATAATTAGAAGTGCCATTTCTTACTCCTAAAATTAGTATCATAATTGTGTGGTTTTAAAAAACAAGAAAAATATTCTCCAGAATGACTCCCCTGTGGTCAAGCTTACATCAGATGACAACCTTCAGCAGCACAGTTGGCCTCACCAGCCCACTTTAGAAAGGCAAATATCTCTTCTGATTTACATTATCTTTACATTTCCCATAGAGAGACTTCCCTTCTCTAGGATTGTTATACAAAGTTTTCAGCAGTAGTAAAAAACAAAGCTATATAACTGAAATGAATGTGTTATAACCTATTACTAATTTAACAAACATCCCAGAATATTTGTTAAACATTTTTAACAAACGGCCACTATTTTTGGCTGCTCACTGTGGCTTATGCCTATAATCCCAGCACTATGGAAGGCCAAGGCATGATCACTTAAGCTCAGGAGTTTAAGACCAGCCTGAGCAAGAGTGAGACCCCGTCTCATTTAAAAAAAAAAAAAAAAGGCTATATTTTGAGGGAGCTATAGGCTCTTCCCTTAATAGTCTTCAAACTATCCTCAATAGTTTAAGAAAAACTTCTTAGATTGCTCTTTATGATAATCTTTTCAGAACAGCCAGAAGTCACTTAGAGTCAAGCATGGTGATTAAAATGAGTGATAAACTTGGCAAATACTTTACTGGGTAAAATGAGATAATTTGTGGCTTCTAAATTAACAATAATAGGATTCTTAAGAAGATTAAAAAATACTATGAGAGGATGGCGCCTGTGGCTCACTGGATAGAGCGCCAGCCCCATATACTGAGGGTGGCGGGTTCCAACCCAGCCCTGGCCAAACTGTAACAAAAAAATAGTCGGGTGTTGTGGCAAGCACTTGTAGTCCCAGCTACTCTGGAAGCTGAGGTAAGAGAATCACCTTACTACCAAAAAAAAAAAAAAAAAAACTTAATTCAAACCCCCCCCCCAAAATACTATGAGACTACATTTAGTTCCTTAACCAATATGATTTATAATTATATTTTAAGTCAGTGGTCTGTTCTAACTACATTCACACAAAAATCAGTTAATTCAATGTACAAAATGCTCTCTGTGCTTATTTTACTAAACCCCACAAAATGTTACATATTGCCACAATACAGTATCTCATGTATATACATATATATGTCTGTACACACATACATATGCTATAGATACTATGTTTATAGATATAGATACATATGTACACTTTCCCTTGGTATGGGTGGGCTGGTTCCAGACCTTCCACAGATACCAAAATCTGTAACTACTCAAGTTCCTGAAGTAAATGGTGTTGTATTTGCATAGAATCTATGTATATCCCCTCAGACACTTTAAGGCATTGCTAGATTACTTATAACACCCAACACAATGTAGATACTATTAAATAGTTATTATACTATATTTTTTAGGGAACAATGACAAGGAAGAAAAGCTCTGTATGTGTCCAGTATAGTTGTAATTTTTCTCCCCAACACTTCCAATCTGTGGTTAATTGAATCCACAGACGTGGAACCCACAAAGGAGGACTGTATATATACATAAAGGACTGTGTGTATACATGAAAAACCCACAAAGAGGGACTATATGTATACATAAAGGACTGTGTGTGTAAAGAACCCACAAAGAAGGACTGTATGTATACATAAGGGATATATATACATATATATAATTTTTAACCATATATTAAGAACTTACCAAATGCACACTGCTTACTGTTGGGTTCTTGATTATAGGAAATACGTGTCACCAAAACTGTTTGTGTTCCTTTACTCAATCATATTTTAAATAATGAAATTAAAAGTAGTGTGAAAAATGCACATTATGACATCATAAATGGTAAGTTAGGAGACTGAATGTAGATAACCAGACCAAATTCATTATATGGTAATGTGGACACGTATGTCTTCTTATAGTATGTTAAAAAATAACTGCCTGGGGTGGCGCCCGTGGCTCAAAAGAGTAGGGCACTGGCCCCATATACCGGAGGTGGAGGGTTCAAACCGAGCCCCAGCCAAAAAAACTGCAAAAAAGAAAAAAAAAAAACTATCTGAAACTAAGTTCAATCTTTTTGTACATTTATTTTTCCCCCTTGACTACACAAAAATAATTTTATTTGCCATTATGGGCTGGAACATATGCCATTATATTTAGTTTAAGATAATCTTTTATGTATATTTTACAGCTTCACTGAGAAAGAGAGATACATCGCCTCATGTACAAGTTTTTACCAGCTAGCAATGAATACTCCTCCCAGCCTATATACATTACCTTGTTAGCACTCTTTAAATGCTCCACAGACTCCCAAAAACTAATCAGAGCTCTCTTGTCCATCCTTTCCATGTACATTCGAAAGTGCTTTCTGTAGAAAGTATTGGCCAAGATATCTTGAAATTGAAGAATCTATTAAAAGAATTTAAGAAAGTTTTCTAAAAAGAAAAAAATCAAACTTTATAAGTATCAGTTTGTTTTAATGTCCAATGGACTAATTTCTACATTTACAAAAAATTGCATTTTTTAAAGGTCATAGCCAATATAACACAGTACTCTCGGCAAATTGATAAATTTCTTCTATCACCTTCCTGAATCATTCACTTGTTCAACAATGATTTATTTGGGCCAGGAGCAGTGGCTCACGTCTGTAATCTCAGCACTCTGGGGATTCGAGGCGGAGCATCCCTGAGCTCAGGAGTTCCAGACCAGCCTGAGTAAGAGTGAGACCTCGTGTCTACTAAAAATAGAAAAATTAGATGGGCAATGTGGCAGGCACCTATAGTCTCACAGTTACTCAGGAGGCTGAGACAAGCGGATCTCTTGCACCCAACAGTTTGAGGTTGCTGTGAGCTATGATAATGCCATAGCACTCTGTCCAGGGTGACAGGATGAGACT